TCTCCTCTCTATTCCATGCCTCAAACATCTCCCTGTACGTCACTTGTATTCTTCCCAGCTCAGTCATGTACACTTCCCTCTCCTTTTCGTACCACGGACATTCCGCGACTACATGAACACTGTCTTCGCATTCGAAGCCGCAATCGCATTTGAACTTATCGTCTTCGTCGTCTACCGTCCTATGTCTTCGTCGACGTTCGCGAAGGCCTATGTCCCCGGTCCTGAATTTGACCTTAAGCTTTGTCCCTGCATCCATTGGTCCATGTAGGTAATCCTTGAACCCTATTCCTTCTTTCAACATTCCGTACACTTCTAGACCCTCCTTACCCTTGGTTTCTTTCCTTAGATTATGTTCTTCTCTGTCGGCGCAAGCAACAGATATCTTCTTCTTGAACCCCTGTAGACCCTCCGTTTCCAGCGTTTCATCTTCGTCGATGTCCAATCCCTTCCATACGTCCTCTACAACCTTGACCCATTCCGTGGGTTGTCTACCCCTCTTTTTGTTTGCCCACTTCGCCTCCCATACTATTCTCGGCAACCTCTCCTCTCCCATCCCGCACATGCGATACTGCCATGTCAGCTTCCTTACGTCTCTTCCCGACCGTAGGGATTGGATCCCCAATTCTGCCCTGACTGCTGCATTACTTGTGCGCTTGGAGCATCCTAGGATGATTTTCGCTGCTTTCATCTGCGCCGCCTCGAGTTCTTTCACTACCTTCTTATTTCCTTCCCATACTTCTCCGGCGTACTCTAGCGGCGGTACGATTACGCTCTTCAACACCGCCAATTTGATGCGTGTATCAAGGTGCCGGTTTGCGAGTATTGGGTGCAGCTTCCCTGCTCGTTCTTTGCCCTTTTCCGCTACCTTGGACATGTGTGCATTCCACGAGCAATCTTTTGCGATCTCTACTCCGAGGTATGTGTACTAGTCCACTACTGCAATCTCCTCGATCCCCCACTTCCATCTATGTTCTACTGGTTCCTCCCTGCCCTCGTTGCATACCATGACGGCACTCTTCGTAACGTTGGCAGACAATCTCCACTTATCAGTAAACTTCTTCGCCGCGTCAATTTGCAGTTGCAGTCCCTCAGGGGTGTCCGACATACCAACAAAATCATCCGCAAACAGCATTCCTGACACCAACGTTTCCGTGTCCCCTACTTTTACTCCCTTCCGGACTGCCTCTACGACTTCCAACAGATCGTTGATGAACACCTGGAACAACGTTGGGGACAGCGTGCAACCTTGTGGGACCCCTTGCTCAATGTCGAAGAATTTAGAAAGTTCTCCGTCTAGCATGACCGCGCTTTTCGTACACTCTGTCATCTTCTTCAGCACTCTCCACATTTTCCCCTTGATCCCGTACTTGGATAATTGTTTCCACAGCCCATTTCTCCATACGGTATCGTATGCCTTTTTCACGTCCAGGAAGAAGCAGTACGTCCGCTTTCCCGCCCTCTTTCTACCTTGGATGATTCTCCCTACCGTGAATGCGTGGTCTACGCACCCCCTCTTCTGTCGGAAACCTGCCTGGCCCTCACTAATGCTACGTTTCTTCTCCAATACTCCCACTATCCTATCGTTCAGCAGCTTACAAAACACTTTTCCTACTGTGTTCAACAGTGTGATACCCCTGTAGTTTCCTGGGTCAGTCTTGTCTCCTTTCTTAAACAAGTTCACAACCACTCCTTCCCTCCATCTACTTGGCGCATACTCGTTTTTCCACACCCAGTTGTACAGCAGTACCATCAGCTGGATCATCCCCTTCCCCCCAAACTTCATGAACTCGTTGACTATCCCATCCGCCCCTGCTGCTTTGTGGCACTGCAGCTTGTTCACACACGCCTCAACCTCGTCCTCAGTGAACTCCTTTTCTAGTAGGAGGGGGGGGGGGGGTACTCATAGTCGTGCATGCCGTAATCCTTAAACCATTGACCTCGCATCCCTACAAAGCCGGGACGGAGCACGCCGGGTTCTCACCGGACCAGGCTCTTGGATGGGAGGGGGGGATAGGTTTTTAACCTGTGCTGGGTATCCTATGTACTTCTTGCTAGGCTTTCTTTTACATCTTCAAGAGTGTCACATGTACGCGCGCGGTGAAAGTTAACCAAGCGATGGCAAAGGCGCACGCTAGAACGGAGCTGCGCAGCGGCAGGGATTAGTGCCATGTTTTGTAGCTGTACCTGTCGCCGGACTGCTTGCGTTAAGCTTTGTTCGACGCCACGCCTGCCTTAGCGCTCGCGGCCCCCTCTCGTTGGCCGCCTATTTTCGTGTGTGCTTATTGGCCGGTGAATCTCGACCATGACAACCACACCAGCCTTTCATCTCCCGCGAGATCGAAAGACTCACCTTGAGTACCTAGGAAGGATTGCTTGAGTGGCGGCTAAGACGGAAGGAAACACGGGGCTTGTCGGCTTTGGAGGGAGCCAGCATGCCTCTCTTTGATACCACGCTGTTGTTTGCGTGCGAGGTGGAATTGCCTGGCCGGCGAATCTTCGGACAAAGGAAACATCACCCAGCACTCGCTGCCAATAATCATTCCGCATTTGCTGCCAACAGTCATTTCAACGTTTCTCACAGGCGTCTATCGTTCGTTTTTTGTCCCCCTCCCCCCCGTTCCCCTTCGCGTTCGCTCGACACACGGCGGTTTCATGTTGTGAACCAAACGCGTTGCTGTCATCGCCCTCCAGGACGTCGACGAGTCCATCCTGCCGCGGTTCTCGCAGGCGGCGTCGAAGGGCTTGTCTTGGCGGAAGCGACTGGCTTCGAGCCGCGGGGGCGGTGGGGACGACGGCGCGCCGCCGCGGCCACAGCTTTCTGCGGCCGCCGCCATCTACGATGAGGAGCAGCAGGCGGCGTCCGCTGCTGCTGCTGCGGCCGCTGCTTCTGCAGATGACATTTTCGTCCGATAAATGCGTGTTGCGGCCCCGAAATTTGGGGGCGAGCAGCGGGGGTGGGGGGCACAAAGTAGCGGTGCTACCGTGTGTAAGGTGCACGCCTGTTGTTGCCGATCCCGCTGCGGTCGTTCGTGGCACACCTAACAGTACCTGGCATTTTCTGTTGTTGCGGACTGTTGTGGCTGACCATGCCTGCAAACCCAACCACCAAGTGTGCTTGGTAAAGCTCATATTGCACCCGCCGGGGCCCCGCAGGTTCGCGGGTGTATGGGACGTGCGTTGGTTGGGTGCGCAGATGAAGGCGGATCACTCGATCACGGACAAGTTTGCCTGGGGGGGGGAGAGTAAGGAGTGTCAGCTGAAGGCGAGAGGGGCGAGTCTGTGCTAGTGCGTGCGGGTACGAAAAGGCTGAAGGTAGAGCTTCTTGTACAAATAATTGGATGGGGTGCGAACGTCGGTTCTTACTACATTCTTGGTACTGTTTTTGTCTTGCGGCAGGTCGAATATATTGACTTGACAGATGGATCTCATCTCTCGGGGAGGGCGTTGTTCGGGCTTCTTTTTTTTTTTGTATGGCACACTTCCTCTTTTTAATAGAGACCTCTAAAGTATCCTGGCTTATTTTTCTTGTGCGTAATACAGCAGTATATGTTTTACAGGACAGAGGGCTAGTTCACTGCATTCAGGCGTCGGTCCAGCAATTCAGCGATTGGTTGATGCAACACTCCAAGATGAGTCGAATCGAACGCTATTCACAGCAGTGTAGCCAGTCCATCGCGGTCAAGGCTGCTGTAGAGTTGCCGTGTTCTGGGCGGCTCTAATGGACAGCCCAACTCCGCCTGCCGTACTGTATGCATAGTGTGCCGGTCAGACCAAGTAGAGCCATCGGAAGGGGATCATCATCACCGCGGCCAACAAATCATAGCACACAAGAACCGGTGACCGGCCTGTTCCTTCACATGTGACCGACCCACTGACTGCTGTACCCCGGTGCAAAGGGCATGTTTGCGGTTTGTGCAGTCTGAGCGATCCGCGTACACTGCTGTCGGGGGTACTGTACACGGCGGGGCGCTATCGGGAAACACCCTTGCGAGGCAAAATTGATAACTCTTCATTGGTCTGTCCGTACTGTTGGCCCGAACTCCTTTGCCATCAACTTGCGTGGAAATCCGGGGACACGAGTCTCATCCCCCCCCGCCCCCTTCATATCCGATCGCCACTCATCACGCAATCCAAGTTATTTGTTGAATTTCTTGCTATCCATAGTAAGTATAACGCAACGAATCCATCTCTATCCACAGATACGACGAGTCCAGGATAAATCAGCAAGGAATTCATGCGGCGTTATTGGAACGACACCTCCCAAGTATGTTTTTGCCCCAGCGTCCGTGGATCCATCCATGCAGCAAGTACCGATGAAGGTCTGAATCGAGCGGTGGATACTTGAAGAATTTACCCTACACCCAATGGGCACACCGTTCGATAGAAGCCCGAGAGCAGCGATGCTAGTGTACGTATATTACGTGTCCGTATATCACTGTTACCGCGGGGCACACCGGAGATGGGTTCTGGAACATTTTACTCCTCTCTATATACCATTGGCACACCGAATTGTACAAAGGCAAAGGCAGGGAGAACACGTGCGTGCAAACCGACGACCTACGATACTTTCAATTTTACCCCCGTCTAATTCCCTCTTATTTCACCTAATAATAGAGTCTTCTCCAAAAACAACGAATGGAAGCAGCGGTCGATAACATTCCCAAACAATATCCCGCCCATCGATCGACCTCCATCAGTAACGTCGTCTTGCTTCCTACGCCACCATTTTCGCGTGCAACCAAAACCCTTCTTTACGGAATGTTCGTGTCTTGTCGCCCCCTTCTTCCCTCTGTTTTACGGGGAAATGGAAGACAACTCTTGTAGCTCTACATTATTCGTCGAGAAGCCGTTGGCAAACAATCATGGTTCATGACGTTCTACGCCCTGCCTGGCTTTCCAGGATCACTACACTGCTGCCCCGCTGTTACACTGCTGTGGCGCGTGAACAACGCTACCACTCAACTGTAACCTTAAAACTATGCACAAATACAGGGGGGTATTTCACACACCCCACACAACTACACACGGTAAAAAAATCCAATCTGGGGGTCGACGGGGGACGAACTGAAACTGCCGACAGGCTTACGCATAAATGTATTAGTACGAATACAACGTTGTCATGAATGTGAAGTACAAACAGAATCAATCATCCTCGGAACCTCGTGGGGACCTCTGCCCCTAAAGCCCGTTAGCAACGCCCCAGGGCTATCCAATCCTGGCTAAATAAACGGCGAAACGGCCGACGCCTCTAAACCCAGTACCCATTCACGAACAAGAGCCCGTCTCTGCCTGCCTGGCTGTACGGTTCTCGACCGAAGCAACAAGAAAGCACGGCGTGAACCAGCATTGATGAAGCAACAGAGACTGAGGCAAATTAAGGCAAGAACAGGTCAAAGACAAAACATGGCACGTCGGCAAGAACGGGTTGATTTTTCATCCGTCCCCGCGCAACAGGCAAGATACAGAGAAAGCACGGCAGAGAAAGCACGGCGCACCCCCCCTCCCCCCCCCCCCCACCCTACGCCCCTCCCAGGATCAAGGTTAGTCTTATTTCAAGACTGAGAGTCAGCTCCGTGCCTGAAGAGTATGGATTTCTTCGCGGCCAGTCGCCTCGAGGGCTGCTGCTGCTGTGTCAAAGGCGCCGCTTGAGACGCAGCTGCCGCTGCAGCCGCCAGTGCCTCGAGCGCCGACACTGGTGAGGCTCCATCCCCGGCCCAGTCTGATGTCCCCCCTGACGTCAACCCCCCCCCCGCGCGCGCCTCCGGCTCCGGGCCACCCGCAGCGCCGCCTCCTCGGCGGGCACGGCCGGTGCCGGTGGTAGTCGCTGCTGCTGCTGCCTTGTGAACTGTCGGTTGCTGCTGCTGCTGCTGCTGCTGCTGCTTCTGGCCACCGCCGCCGCTGCCCCGGCCTCCCACGGCCGCCACCACCGGCGGTGCGGCCACCGCGGCGGGCGGTGGCGGCACGGGGGCACACACGCTCCGCTCTCTCTTACGCTTACGCGAAGGGGGCTGCTTCCCGCCGCCGCCGCCGCCGCCGCCCGCGCCTGTCCTCCGATGTGCGCCGCCGTTGCTGTTGTTCTGGGCGCTGTTGCCGTCCCCGCTGACGCTCCCGCTGCTGGTGCCCGCGCCGTAGTCGCTGCTGACGGCCTCGTTGGCGTGCCCGTCTTCGGAGCTAGGGTGTCCGCACCGGCCGCCGTTGCTGCTGCCTTGATCGTCGAGGTCAGGGCTGGCGAGGTCGACGCTGTCCTCCAGGTCCGGGCTGCCGGCGCCGTTACTGTCGCCGCTGCCGCCGCTGCCGCTGAAGCCACTGAAGCCGCTGAAGCCGCTGCTGTTTCCGGAGAGGGAGTCGCCGCTGCCCTTGCCGTCGTTGCCCACGCCCAGCGGCCTGGCCACCGACGCCGCCTGTTGTGGATTGTTGGAAACGTGTGCGCATGTGTTGCTGTAGGTTAGCCTGGTGCCTGCTTCGTCTCGTTATTCGTGTCTCTTGGCAATACGCTTGGGTTTGCGCGTATTTCCACCGCCACAGACATCTCTGCATCAGTCCTACCGTATGGTTTGTACGGGAATAAGAGCTGCGGTTGCTTGGAGCATGCCCTCTTTTGTGCTTGGTGGGCACCGGTGTTTCTGCAACAAAACTGGTAGCCGTGGATAGGTTGCGAATAGTGGTACGTATCGACGTTTTCATCGACATTTTCATCACGACTACGAACTGCGGGCGCCAGCTTGGACAATTCATAGGTGTCAACAGCTGTCTTGTCAAGTCTCTCATTTCTTGATGACGAACGGACGGAAGAAGCATCCACCCCCCCCGCCAAGGCGAAGGTGGTAAAGAAGAAGCAGTAGTCTACGCAGCAAAATTGATTAAGCAAACATATGGGATAAAGTATTCAATTCGTGCTTTGGGGTTATGGTTAGGGTGAGGGATACGGTCTGCGTGCCCCCTCCCTATTCTTTTTCGAGATACTCTTCAAATCCTGCGTAGGCGGTCCAGAAGAAGAGGAGTGAGCAACCGACGGGTGGATCAAGGAAAGGCAATCATCAATCATCAATGGAAGGAGTTCGAAATTGACGGAGGTGATACGCTGGGAACGGAAGATCAAGGAGAAGATATCTGTTGCTTTTGCCGAGAGAGACTAACAGAATCTAACAAAAAAAAAAACAAGGACGAAGAGGGTCTAGATGTGTACGGAATGTCGAAAGAAGGAATAGGGTTCAAGGAGTACCTACATGGACCAATGGATGCAGGGACAAAGCTGAACGTCAAATTTAGGGCCGGGGACATTAGGCCTTCGAGAACGTCGACAAAGGTTTCGGAAGGTAGACGATGAAGACGACAAGGCTGCGAGTGCGAAGACCCGGGTTCATGTACAGTAGTTGCGGAATGTCTATTGTACAAAGAGGGAAGTAAGTGTACATTACTAAAGTGGAAAAAGTAGAAGGAAGATGTACAGGGAAATGATTGAGGCATGGAATAGCCAGGAGAAGACGGTAGCTGTACTGGGGCATAGGAAATGGGTTGAAAAGGTGGGAAGTGATATCGATAGGATAGATAGGGTAGGGACCATTTTTTGAGCCACCGTTGGCAAAGTAGGAAGGAACGATTGGTCATCGGTGATAGGTCCTGTGGGAACAATGCTCCGTCCTCTCGAGGACGCGTGATCAATTGTGTAACGGCTAAGGCATGCCAAACATAAGAGTTCCCCCCCCCCTCCAACAGCGCGCTTTCCGTTCAAATGCGGGGGAACAAAAAGCTCTTGACTCGCCATAAAGGGGTGTGTTCGTCACATTCTCTTCCACGTGCCAGCGCTATCTATGGCCGGCGTGCTTGCCTGCGTCCGGTGCAGCCCTGTCTGCCCACACATCCCCCACATGTCGCGAAATAACCAAGTTCATCCTCTCACTCCTTGAACCTCTCTCTGTCGTGTAACGTGTGTTCTCTCTCGCCTGTTGCATACTCAAATCACGATATTCCGCCTCCCTCCTTTCCGACCGGCCTCTCTCTATCTCCCCCCCCTCCGCTCCACTTACCCTCTGGAGCCGAGCGACGATGCCGTTGGCGCTCCCCGCGGGACAATCGGTGTGCATCTGCTGGAAGGAGCAGATCACCTCCACGGGGATGATCATCTGCTTCGCCTTGAGCCACGCCAGGCGCATCGAGCTGCGGACCTCGTACCACTCGAACTTCTGGTCCTGCCTCATGATCTCCAGCTTGCACAAGTCCTGGTCATTGTTGTGTGTCGCGTGTTGGAGGTTGGCGGGGGGGAGGGACGTTGATCCCCGAGGTAAAACACGCAGCAAACACATGTGTGTGCGTCGTCCCATGCGTTCTAGACGTCAGGCTTTACGCCTTTTGGGCGCATCAGACTCGCCACACAAGCTCACGGACGAGTCTTATTTTTATTTGACGAACAGAACAAAAAGTTCAAAGTTAAGAAAACGGTGTGTGGGGGGATGGGTGGGGCGAGCAGTAGGCATGCTTTAGCGCAAGAGCCTTTTGCCATCACAACGGTCGGATAAATGCATCAGTCATCCATCAGATAGCAATGGTCAACAGCCGGGCAGACGGTCTGTATCTTCCCTTGACGGCTTGAACGAAAAGCGCAAACCAAACACAGCACGCGCCGACGTCACAAAGCGGGTCGCCGGCGCGTTTCACCTAACTTCTGTCACCAAATACGCCACCATTCACTCTGTCTCCCACCATCCCCTCCGGCGCAAGCCGACCCCCGTCCCACAAAACTGTGGAGAACCAAGGCCAAACATAGGTCTCGCTCACCTTCTGGGTGTTGGTGAACGCGTTGATCTTGGACTGGAGGTCGCGGTCGACGTTGACCATGCTCGCCTTGCCGCCGCCGCTGCCACCGCCGTCACTCCCACCGCTAATTGGGCCGCCTCCAGCCCTTTCGCCCTGTGCATCAGAGCAAAGCTCGAGCTTCCTCGCCGCCCCCCCGACCTCTCTCGCCTTCGCTCCCTCCGGCAAAAGAGAACCACCGCCCTTTGCGTGCCGCGTGCCTCCCGCCGCGCCGTTGGCTCCTCCTCCCGACTGCGTCCCCCCCCCCCCCGCTGCTGCCGACCCCCCTCCTGTGACTCTCTCCCCACTTGCTACTACGGGAAACGCTGGTGGGCCAAGCGGGGGAAACGATCTTCGATACTTCCATGCGTCTTTCCCCTTCCCTGCTCCTCCTCCTCCTACCCCGCCGCCTCCGCTGCTGCTGTCGCTCAGGCCCCCACTCCCGCTGCTCCCCACCGTGCTCCATCGCTTTATCTTTCGCCCGCCGCCGCTGCTCCCCCCGCTAGCTACGCCACCGCCGCTGCTGGACGAAGCGCCGGTCTTGCGGCCCTGACTCTCGCCCGCCAAGCTCGCGGCTTCGCTCTCCCAGTCGTCCGTGCTGCCGCCCATGTCTCCCACTCCGCTGCCGCCGCCGCCGCCGCCGCCGCCACCCCTGCCCGTTCGTGTCGGCCCCGGAAACCGCGGGGCTTCCCCACTCATCGTGAAGAATCCAAAGTCACCCTGCTCCTTGGCCTTCTCGGCGCGGGCGAGGAGGGACTCGAAGGTCGTGCCCTGGTGTCGCAGCGCCGACGCGATGGCCTCCTTGCTGACCGACCCCAGGTTCTCCTCGAGCAGCCGGCGGAGACGGTTGTGGCTCCCGCTCTCCACGAGGTCGAAGATGTTGGTGCCTTCCACCTCCTGCGCGGCGTGTGTGCACAGGTTTGTAGCGCCGAGGGGTGTCAAAACAAGCAATGAATGGTCCACAATGGACGCATCTACGTGGGCAACAGCTTTTGCCGTTTTCCATCGCGGCGTTCTTGCTCCTGTACACGGGTCAGGAAAAAAAACTCCCACACAAAAATGGAGCAACACGCTTGTTTGTGGCAGGTACAGTACACACGCTTCTAGGTGTTTCCATGTCCCGCATTTTACGCCTTCCGAGCAAGGCGACCCACTCAGGCGCCAGGCAACGGCATCCCTCTTAACTCTTGACGCACACACACACGTGCAATTATTCTCTGTTGCTACCGTTTCTGTCTTTGATCCGGAGAATAGCTTAGCCCCCCCTATGCTGCCCCCTCACGGGGTCCCAGTTCATGGCATTAAGAAGTGTTTCGTGTTTTCAACCGCACAGAAACTGACGTCTGTTCATTGGTCAGCCGGTTAGCGCGGTCGATGCTAATAACAAAAACACTCACGCACACAAGCACACACGCATGCACAAACCTGTCTCGTGAACTGCAGAAACTGCCGGCAGTTCTCGCTGGCGTAGGTTATGACCCCGTCCCGCCGCATGGCCAGGATCATGTCCGGCAGGAGGGACAGCACCCGCGCCCTCTTCCTCATCCGCTCGTTCGCGTCCGCCATGTTCTCCACGAAGAACTTCTTTCGGAGCCGGCACGTGTTGGCGCTCCTGCGGTTAGCCGCTCGCTTCGCGCTCTTCCTCATCTCCTCCGCCTGCTGTGCCAAGAGCTGCTGCTGCAGCGGCGCCACCGCCGCCGCCGCCGCCGCCGCCGCCGCCACGTGGTGCTGAGGGTGCGGCGCCCCCGGCTGCATCGCGGCCATTGTGTACACGGGCGGCATCCCCGGCATGTGTCCGTGCCCGTATACCGGGGGTCCAAGCATTGCTGTTGCGAAAACGAGCAAGCAAAGTGTGTGTGTGTGGGGGGACGACGGGGGTGAGATCGTTGCACTTCTTCGGTGTTTGGCCACGCTGTGACGGCTCTTTGCTTCCCTCTTCGTTAGTCTCGCCGTCTCATCTAGACGTAGAGCCGTTTGCTCGGCGGGTCTCCCGACCATACGCACGGCCAGCGTGCTTCTTTGTTTCTCAAGACGTTCAACTATGTAGGGGGCTACACAGACAATAACCCTTGCTCAACGGCTATATCTTGTAGCTTGCACCCGTGGCATTTCATTTCTGTTGTCTTTTCAAGAGTGCAGGTGGGGAGGTACTGGATCAAGGACGCAATCTATTCTTTCAAGACATCGAAAACGAGGACCACGTCGACAACAGGGCCTTGCATTGCACACCGTTGTCTCATCGTCATGGTTTCGTTACCCGTCAACACTTCAACTGCGTTGGTTCCGGGTAATATCTACTGCGGGGTCTCTTGCCACTAGGACTACCATGGGGCACAAGATTGGAAGGAGGCGCGTTTCAGCAAGGCACGCGGGTACCAAAGCACGAGCGAAAACCATCGTGTAACTGCTGATCACATGTACGAAAAAATAAATAATTAGCTAATCTATCGTAGACTCTTTTCTATGGATAGAGATGGAATCGTTTTGTCATACAAGGCCCCCCTCCGGAGTGGGGTAAAGAGAGCACCGCGGCAAGGGGTGATGCAAGAACATGCACAAGGAAAACATAGGAAAACAGCTACATACTTATATCCTGCTGCTCTACCACAGCTGTGCACCAAGAAAAAAAAGGTTCGCGCAATTTTTGGGAGGTCGGCGCGAGCTTTCTCATCGATACTGCCTGCTGCCAAAGAGATCCTCCTGCAGGAATTTAGCAATATATTTTCTGGATTTTGTTCGGTTGAAAGCCCAGCCGTGCGGATGGATGTGTATAATATGTGCATGCCGACCTCCCGACCTCGGGCTCGGCGGTCTGCACGGAGACGTGTGCACTGCTCTGCATCTCTGCTGACACCGCCACGAGCTTTTTCATCGATACTCTAAAGAGATCCTTCTGGAGGATTTTGGCTGCAAAGAGAAGTTCTGTAGTTTATGTAAATAGTTTTTGGTTGCAACCCATAGCCGATCGGATGGATGTGAATATATGTGCATTGCATGTGTCGGCGTGCCGGCCTCCTGACGCGGGCTCGGCGGTCTGCACGGAGATGTGTGCACTGCTCAGCATCTCTGCTGACACTGCCACGACATGTACTTTGCTCTACGGCAGCTGGAAACTGTGTGTAGTTCATTCAGCAGTTGGACTCAATCATGGCCTCATGGCCATCATCAGCAGAACGACGAATTGATTGAGCGGCGCCAGCTGGTCCGCCGCTGGTTGTTCTGACGTGCTTGTTGGTGTGGCCAATCAACTGTTGGTAGTATGTGGTTGCACGTGACAAACAGCTGTCATTGCGTACGTATTTGGTTGAAGCTGACGTCTTCTGCCGGGCTGTTCGATGAGACATGTCACGACTGGCCCGACGCACGACGCGACAGCTGCTGAGAATCAGTGCAAAGTCTTCTTACGGCCCTACGAATTTTCTTCACAGTCTTGCACAATCCCGTGGAAAAAAATACCAATCTATAGATAGTCTTATTAAGAAGAATAAAAGATAAATCATACACGGTCAGGAAGAAATCCTCCCCTATGCGCTCCGTCGACAGCTGCATAGCAGTGCTCCTGTTCTTCTCGCGGTCTACACCCCGATACAAGGCGAGTGTTGCGGGGTGTGGGTGCAGGGGTGTCAACGGCACGTTGGGTAAATTAATACCCAGAGAAATTGTGGGAGAAGTATTTCCCTGTGGAAGGATAACGCAGACGACAGGACCCTTCTACAGCAGTAGCCTCCCTTGAGGGATGGATCCCACACCCTTCAGCTCAAGTCCTATCAAATAGCAACGCACAGCATACAAAGAGACCAATAAGCAAGTGAGCCCATCACCACCGGTCTTCCAGATTTTACGGCGCTAAAGCCGAGCCAGTGGTCTCCTTTGCTGCAACGGTGTGGTTGCGATTCGGACGCGGAAAGAAACTCCGTGCATCCTTGCTCATGACCACAACTTCCCTTGACACCGTCGAGTAAAAAGAGAGCAGCGGTAGGGGTCAACCCAACCGCATTGGAGACAGGTCCAAAGCCCCCGCCTCGACCACTCTCTCTCTCTCTCGACGGCGGCAACAAAAGTGGCGAGGTGATAAGAAGGAGGAACGGCATCTCTGTTCGTCCAAATCGCAACCAATGCATCCACATCTACTCCTCGCCGTCGCCGCACGGGAGGTTCACTGGTTCAGTTGTTAGCCCCAAGGAAACTGACGCTGCCCAGGCGCGCACCAAACCTCCAGCTTCTCGAGTACATCGCCCATTTCAAGACCACGGAGGACGTCAAGTCTTAAGACAGCAGTAGCAGCAGCAGCAGCAGCAGCAGCAGTGTATGTCAAACCGTCAGGTGTAAGACAGCACTAGCGCACGTCAAACCGACCAAGGCGGGCGCTGGAGGAGCTGCAGCAGCTCTTCCGTCGCCGGAGATTCGTTCCGTCAACTGGTGGCCGCTACAGCCGCTTCGGGACAACACCTATCAGACCTATCAGACCTATCATAGCTCTCGGGACAACACCTATCAGAAATTTTCCGCGAGATTCGTGGGAGCCGAAAAAAAGTCGTCGCCGGCGGCCGTTGGAAGGAGGGTGCTGGTGAGGGCCGGAGAGGGGGCTGCACGTTGTGGTGTTGTGGTGCGAGCGCAAACCTTGGCGCTATAGGCTGGTGCAGTACACTCGGACAACACGTGCAGAGCTTATCAACGACACAGCCGTTTGTCGTTTTCGACAGCGCTGTTTCTTTTGCTCTCTTCTACTTGGGGTCTCAGCTTGTTATGGCATGTGTCGTTCGGGTTCTTCTTAAATGTCTATTATTTCATTATTTCCTGTACCTCAGCTTTTAGCTTTTTAGTCAAACGATGGTCTTGTGAGAACTGTGGGACGCGGTGAATAAGCTGTTGTGTTTTGAAGGTCCGCATCCTCAATTCTTTCAATTTGGGATCAGACAAGTAACTCGTCAAGTCCGAGGAGTTCAAGCATCTGCGTATGAGAATCTCCAGGGTGGGGTACATAATGAAGTTGGAGGCGTATCAACGGCGGTACTAAGGGTTAAGTAGTACCCGTAGTAAAATGTGGGTGAGGGCAACTCCCGATTGAAGGATACAACAGGGGGCAGGGCGCTTGAAGCCCGTCTTGAGGGATGGATCCTACACCCCTTCTGCTCAGTCCCAAGCCTACCAATACCAAGGCATGGCGAGCGGTGCTGTTACGCAAAAAAGAAAACAAGCAAGTGAGTTTGTATTGAACAATAGTCCATCATCACGGGTCTTCCAGATTGTACCCCGTGCGGTGCTCCCTTTGCCCAAGGGTACTATTTTATCCACCTTCGTGTACCACTGTGCTTCTGCAGAAAGGGAAACGCACGATGGACATACTTCGGCGACGTTTCGACAAACTGTTCTCCTTCCGCAAACTTAGGGCTTTCGCCCGATTTCGCGCTTGTCAACCGCTAGTATACAATACTGGGCAACAACAAACCACCGCTGAACCTCCGGTTCATTAAGCGGTTGCAAGCGGGCGTGGAGATGTCCTTGTTGAAGAGCGGCTTTTCTTCGCCTCGAAACTATGAACCACTGAACGGGACCACTATATATATGAAACGCTGCTGCCAAGAGGACTACAAATGGTGGCTCTTATTCCGCGGCGGCGACTTTTTTGCGGCTCCGACGACACACGCGGAAGGCCCCAAGTTGTCCCGAGAGCTATGATAGCTCTTGTCCCGAAGCGGTAGCGGCCAGCAGTTGACGAGTGGAACAGCTGAGCCTAAAATACTTTGTCCTTTAGCTGGGGGCTGTGGCTTAATCGACGCCGCATTTTTTGGATTTCTCTGTTCAAGTGCTTTTTCGGTTGTGCCCAGGCACATTATTTTGTGGTCGAGGAACATTTTTTTTTCGACTTTTCGCGAGTCTTGGGGACTCTCATCTCAGGCTTTTGGTTACGCTATGAACGCCCTGGGTTCTGTCGCCATCGACGTCCTCGGCCTCAGGATACAAAAACTAGGTACTTTTGTTTGTGTCCGGTCTTATTGCGATTTGATCGTACTCAAAGGAGAAGACTTGCTGAGTTTGAGTTGGACAATTACCACGAGATATATTGTAGCACAAAATTTACTGGGGAAACTTTTCCGTTTCGTCCGTATTGGGTACAGTCGAGGGACCCTTTTAGTGCCGGTTGAATAGTGCCAGATGCCCGGTATAGTGCCGGTAAAATCTCTGCACACAGGCGAAGCTCTCAATAGTGCCAGACCGGCACTAATGAAAGCATGCCCGATATAGTGCCGATTCGGCACTGCTGTCACCCCCAATAGTGCCGGTACTCCGCACGCGCGAAACACACACACGCACAACCCAGGGCAGAAAACATAGACTCCACACACAGAAATAGGGTACACGTGCTGCTGCAGACCCGAACAGCTCTACACAGGGGCGTACCATGCCCTGTGCGGAAGGTGAACTGTGCCAACTACAGGACACCACGCCGCAAGACCCTCATGGTCACGGCTGCCAGGGAGGATGTGGCGGGCGACTGCACGGCATTTGCGGCAGTGTGGTTGATGTAGGCAACGAGAATCACCGCATCTGCAGCGCGTGCGTCGCCAAAGCCGGCAAGCGCAAAGTGTCAGCAGCAGACAGCACTGGGAAGGCACAATCTAAACGCCCGAAGGCCACGAATGGGGGGAGTAACAAGTCTCAGCCTCGTGCGCGGCCAGATTTCAGAGCGAAGTGTGAGATGCTGAAGCTGATGGATCAGAAGGTGACTCATGAGCAGATAGCAGATCGCTTCAAGTGCTCGGAACGGTTGGTCCGGGATGTGAAGAAGA